GTTGCTGTGCGCAATCCCACTTGAGCGGCCGTCGGTATCGCTCGTCACGGACATCGAGACTATACCAACGAGGTGCCTGGTTCGTCACGGGCGGCACGACAATGATGAAATGTGCAATAACGATGTGACCGAGTGTGTCGGGAGGGGGGGTGGGGGGCTGTGGGCCGTGATGCCGATTATGACGACAGGGAGCCGCGTCGACTCGGGGCGACACTCTGACCGGACGAGGAGGTTTCATGTCCGCGCGTGCGCCGACGAGTCCACTCGTCACCCCCCCCCCCCCCCCCCCCCCCCAAAATAACTTAACAAACGATTCAAAGTCGGTTCACGTCTCGTTGGCCTTGCGAGCTGGCGCGACGAACCGCCGGGTCGCAGGGTTCGGGGTCGAGTGTGCACCGCACAATCCGCACGGCAAGAGGGAATGCGGGTTTTTTTTTTATTGCGCGAGAGTCTTTTTATTTTTTGTGCGCAAATGCCGTGCGTCACGTGCGTCACGTGATGCCCGCTCCCTTTCTCCGTTGTGAGTTTCGCCAGCGGCCAGAGCTCCGTGGAAACGGTCGCCACGCCGTGGCGATTCACTGCGCCTCGGCGCGGTTTGGGCAGCCGCCACAGCGCGGCAACCGGACACGCCGGTCGACCGGCCAGCGATGACGGAGCGCTCACTAATCGGTTTGGCCTCTGACAAATCGACAATTAGGACAGAGCATACCGCGGCCGAGTGTGACGCTATTAAAAATAATGAGCACGAGGCGTGGGTGGAGGGGTGGGGGGGCGGTGGGAGCAGAAGAGACGGAGAGAGAAGTAAAATATCGAGAAAGGGGAGAGAAGGCAGCGTCGCTTGAAACGGCAGTCTCGAGTTGGACGCCGACCGCTCGTGGACCGGCATGGATCGCCATCGGCCCCAGGACGCTCATCCCCGGCGCCGGGAAGTCACCGCACGCGCCACGGTGCTCTCTCGCCAGAACTGCCTCCTGACCCGTGGCCCACGGGCACGCACCCACGCTCGCAATCGTCTCGATGCCAGGCTGGTTGCAATGAATGGCGAAACGTCGCACTCTCCAACACACCGGTGTGCTGAACTAGTCACTAATTGCCATGTTTTGTTTACGTAACAAACCTTACTAATTGGCTGCGTCGGGAGGTGGCGGGTTGAACGATACTTATTTTTGCGTGAAACAAAACTTGCAGAGACCTTTTTAAGGAGACGGGTGAAAGGTTGCACGCGGCGTTTCTGAGCAGTCACTCAAAAAACGCTCCTCCCTCTCGGCCCGCACTGCCGGCCCTCATCCGCTAGGTCCACCTTCCATTCACCTTCCACCATCGGCTAGAAAAAACGAAGCTCATCTCTAGACAACGGCGACTCAGCGATACCATAATAATAATAATGCAATTTATAACGTGCGCAAATTTGCAGACGTAACGGCCGCAACTCAGAGGCGCGGAGCCAGGCTCAGAGTCGTGGTTGTAGAGGTGATGCCGCGAATGTGCGGAGGGATTGCGTTCCAGACTGTTGGGGCAGCCACCGACAAGCGGTGCATAGACGTGACCATCCTGTATCTTGGTATCAAGAGGAGGTCGTGAGTCGCACTGCGAAGGCATCTGCCGTGTGCTGTGCTGCAAATTGTTCCGTCGGCGAACACCGAGCGAAGCCGAGTGATGTAACGAGGCATCGAGCAAAGCCGCTCAGAAACAAAATCCCCGTCAATGTGGAGTAGGGAGGCGGGGCAGCCGAAGGAGGCAGACACCAGCTGAAACTCTGCACGCGTGTGTGCGTGTGTGCGTGTCTCTGCGTGTGTGCGCGTCCGTGCGGTGGCCCAGAGTGGTTAGGGCATTGCACGTCGAACCCGCGCCACCCAAGTTCCATTCCCACTCATGGCCAACACCGGTGACGAATATCTGAACCATTCCTAAGCATTCCCTAGGTCGACTCAGCCTCAAATCAGTGCCTGGTGCAACGTGTAATCGCCACTGGGGATGCAAAGGCGGCCGGGCGTGGTGCTGGCCACCCACCCCTCGTGTGCCGTGCCAGCCTTCATAGGTGCTACTCGCTAACAGCACTTTCCTTAAAAATCTGTTACGGCTATACGGGGGACCTTTGTGTGTGTGTGTGCGTGGGCGCGATGTGATGTCATAGTCTCGGGGGTGGTGGAAGAGGGGGCTGTTAAAATTGCGCGGTGGCACGACAACTCCGGCTTTGATGGCTCGCCAGCGTTGCCCGCGTGCCGACGCACTAACAGAGACGCATTCATGGCGCTAGCACGGCACAAGGGTCGCAGGCGCCGCCACCGTGCACGTCCGTGCGCACTCGGTTGCACAGGCGGGGGAGGAACGGGAGGAACGGGAGGTTGATCAGTGGCGTAGTTGCGGAGTGTGCAGGCGGTGCCACCGCTGCGACGAGGGGGAGACTGGGTTGGCATCCCCATCTCATTCCTTGTACCGGGGCCATGCTACGCCACGGAGGGCTGTGGCGGGAGAGAGGCGGAGGCGGGGAAGTGGGGGTGGGGGGTGGGAGCTGGGCTGGGGGCAATCCCCGTCGGGAGCCGCTTCGCATCGTCGCGGGCACGAGGAGGTGACACGTGGCGCACGCGAGCGGCGGTCCTCGGCTCGAACTCACCGCACCCACCCAACTCACCCGCCGACCTTTTGACAATGAACTTGAGGTGCAGCCTCTCTGTGAGTAGTGGAGCCACCCTCGGGGTTCAGCTGCCCACGGGATGGGGTCGCCCCCGGCACAATTCTGGGGCGCCCCAAGCACCACCGTCGGCAGTAGTGGCACCGTCAGTCGTGGCACCGTCAGCAGCGGCGCGTACACCTGACATGAGCAGTCTCTCTATGAAACACGACTAGCGCACATGGCAACATTAATTTAAAAAGAGCAACTCAAAGAGTGAGCAAGGCCGTAATGCTTTGATTCAATGTGTTTTTTACTCAAGTCACCTGTGTGTTGATGCACAGCAACAAATGTCAACTTTATATAGCGTTGAAATATGCATAACATTTGATTTACCGATTTAAAGCTTTCATGACTGCAAGGATTCATCTTCTTTGGTTCTTTCGGTAAAGTCACGTAGAATGAGAATAAAATAATAACTTGATAAAATAAAATAACACAATAATATTCTCATGACGTTTCGGCCACAACACAAGCGGCCTTCATCAGGTGAAGAGACGAGACTGTCTGGAGGACAGCAGCGCTGTCTGGAGGACAGCGCTGCACTCCAGCGCTGTCCTCCAGACAGTCTCGTCCCTTCACCTGATGAAGGCCGCTTGTGTTGTGGCCGAAACGTCGTGAGAATATTATTGTGCTATTTTATTTTATCAATTTATTATTTTATTCTCATTCTACGTGACTTTACCGAAAGAACCAAAGAAGATTTGATTCACCATAAATAATACCGAAAAAACGCACCTAGCACAAGGTCGCGAAGCCGATCGGCAGGGGTTTGGTGTCCGCCGCAGGCGGTCGGCGAGGTCACGCGGGGCGACGTCAGACCCACGTGGATGACGACTGACCAAATGACGGAACTGACCAATTGAATGAGCATGCGAAACCGCTGACCGGCCAACAAACCAAACGACCGATCGAGTGACTCGGCATCCGGCCGACGGAACGACCGAAGAATAACCGACCGAAAGAATGGACGAGTCACCTAACGACCGACCCACTGACCGACCGGCATGCCGCCCCGTAGCGCGGCACGGGGGGGGGGGGGGGGGGGGGGGGGGGGGGGCACGAATACGAACGGTGGGAGTCGCCGCGGCCGCCCCTTTCCGGAGGCGCCGGGGCCACGGATTCCGTGAGGCTGTCAGCCCGGCGAAACTTTACTCCCTGGAATTCGGCACGAACCGTGGCCTTCAGGAGTAGAAACCAACGGGGGATGCATGCCTGCATCATAAACAATCAAATTCCGGCCGCCCGCTCGCCGGGCTCGGGCACCCGAGCCGCTGTGTCGCAACGCGCCGCTCCTTTCCTCCCCCTGCAATGTATTCACTTAAATGCCGACAAACAAACAAACCAAAAATCCCCTGATAAATCTTCGAAAATTCATCTCGACGCCGAAGATGGCCCCCTCGAGAGAGGTGACGACGCTCGTGCGGGTCAGTGGAGGGTGGGGGGGGGTACTTCCCCTCCCCCCCACTAACTCCCACCACTCCTCCCAACTAACCCCAACCAACCCCCCCCCCCACTAAATACCACCACTCCTCCCCACTAACCCCCACCACTGCCCCCCCACTAACACTCACCGCTCCTCCACCCTCCCCACCCCACGCCCCCCCCCCCCCCCCCTACCCAGGTCACGCAACTGAGGAGAAAGTTAGCGACGCAGCCGAGAGATGAGCGCCTCTCTTCTCCCCCATATTCACCAAGAGATAATAAAACACGCTAAGCAGGGTTTTGGAGCCAGTTAGCACTCGGATGGGAGACTGCCTGGGAATACCAGGATTTGTCAGTTTGGGCTGAGAGGTGGCAGCACAAGCGATGGATTCCTGAGTCTATTTTGTGCAGAGATTTGAGTGTTATCCCCAAGTGCATGTGGCACGGTGCCTTGGGCTGTTCCTGATTCGTCCAACACGAAGTCAAACTCTCATGAATGGGACTGGTGTGAACGTCCAAATGCAGCAGGAACTCTCCTAACAATGGGTCTTGAGACTCAGGGACGGCTGCTTTCCTGGGCAAATAAATGCAATGACTTTTTTTTGTTCATTACATATTTGGTGACATCACCACGGTTAGCGATGAAGACATTTTTTAACGAGTGCATCGTGGAATCGATCCCAAAAAAAATAAATCGCCCTTCGAAACCCAACGTTCAGAACTCTCTTTAGAGCCGATGCTCATCCCGCCTGAGCGGCACGCGCCCCGCCACAAGTCGAGTGCCGCTCTCTCAGCGATAACGACAGCAGCCGGTGACCCCTGCTGCACATCCCCTGTAATACAACAAGAGGTCAATTGCTCCCTCCCTTGCTTGCTCACTCCCTCGCTCGCTCCCTCCCTCGCTCGCTCCCTCCCTCCCTCCCTCCCATCTCGCACTACCTCCTCTTCTCCATCGCCAACATCTTCACTCCCGAGCCGCGTACTCCTCTCCCGCTCCCCGCTGCTCTCCCCACTCCGCCCTTTCACTTTCCCATTCTCCCGCACGCTATCGCTCCCTCTCTCCCGTACGCACGCTCTGCCTGCCTTCATCTTTCTCTCTTCTCCCAGTTCGCTCGCCCACTCTCTGACCCCCCCCCGCCCGCCCACCCCACCGTGCCATGTGTTTGCAATCAGGCGCCTGTTCCACGTTAGTGCCCAGACTGCCGCCGCCCCGCCGGCCCGCCTGCCCGCCTGCGCCAGACAGACAGCGGAGGACGGTACCGGCAGCGTGTTTGTGTCTCGCCGGCGCGGCTGCTGGAATGCCTCCCTCGGTTAGCGGTAATTACTGCGCTCCCCCAACGAGCTGGCCTCGAGCCACCCATTGCCCATTTTTTTTTCGTATCCCCCTTCATTTTATTTCTCGTGCGCCGCCCGCCGCCCGCCGCCACCGTTACAACAGCTCAGCGCCGTCTTTGATAACCGAACCCATGCCAGCAGCTTCCTGCGGAAACCGCGCAGGATATATGTTTTAATTTTATTTCCCCCTTTCACGCACTCTCCGCCCCCCTCCCCTCCAATAACCCCCCCAGTCTTCCTGCCCCCCCCCCCACCACCTAACCCCCCTCCCCTCCACACAAGTTCCCCGACCTCCACATGGTCCCGGTTTATTGTGGTGTTTGTTTTCATCCACTTTGCACAACAGAGCCTTCATAACCGTTGCAGCGACGACGCGGAATCTCGCAAAGCCCCAGCGCTGAGCCACAGGCGTCCGTCGCAAACCACGGAACAATAAAGGAGGTGTGGCTGGGGTGGGTGGGGGATGGGGTTTCGGGGGGAGGGGGGCACAGGGGGACACGGTGCTGGGTCAATCGCACCCAGGGTACGAGAGGAAGGCGGTGGGCACGGGCCCAGCAGAGTGCGCGCCCCCAGCGCCGCGGGGAAGTTCACCGACTTTAAGCCTCCGCCTTTCTCCCGGGTTTAATTAGCGCCGCGCATTTGAGGAGTTTATGCGTTTCAATTGCGAGGAATTACGTGAAACAGAAGGCAGGGGATTGGGAAGCCTACGAGCTCAACTTTGACGAATCGAGCGTTCGGGAGTTTAATGGTTTCCCTGTATGGGACGTGCGCCCGCGTTATGGTGTCACGCCAGTTGTGACGTCACGACGGACGCGGCTCGTCACGTGCCAAAACGAATCCTGGAAATTGCGACACGTTTTGACGCGGTACCCTGCAAAGCTTCATACGAAACATCAGAGCATCCAAAAACGCAGGAACAACGATAAATCGTAGTAATAATTCACAACCACTTTGTCAATCCACTGCTGGATGAAGCCCACTTCCACACCATGCTGGGCATGAGGGTTGTGGGTCCATACTTCACCAGGCTGGTCCGTGGCGGTTGGTGAAGACGTAGGGTGGAGGCAGGCCCAGGACCGGTTCAGATGTCAGCCGCGGGGCGGGAATCGGCCTCGGGTCGCACCGGTCCTGGGTGCGGTGCGCCGACCGCTGCGCCGCCGCCCCTGCGACTGTAAACAACGGCACTCTGTGTGTGTCGTCGGAGCACCACGTGGGGCGAGCGGGAGGCACGAGGTCAGGTGAAGGGAGCTCGCCGACTGCAGAGGCAGAAAACTCGCACGCCACACACACCACGCACGCCACACGCACCACGCGCACGCCACACGCCACACACACCATGCACAACACACACGCCACACACACACCACACGCAGGCCACACACACCATGCACAACACACACGCCACACACACCACACACACCACACACACCACGCAAGCCACACACACCACGCACACCACACACACCACACACACACCACGCACACCACACAAACCACACGCACCACACACACCACGCACACCACACGCACACCACACACACGCACCACATACGCCACACGCACGCCACACACACCACGCACACCACACACACCACACACGCCACACGCACCACGCACACCACGCACACCACACACGTCACACACACCACACACACCACGCACACCACACACACCACACACCACACACACCACACGCACCACGCACACCACACACACCACGCAGGCCACACACACCACACACACCACACGCACCACACACACCACGCACACCACACGCACCACACACACCACGCACACCACACACACCACACACACCACACACACCACACGCACCACGCACACCACACACACCACACGCACCACACGCACCACACGAACCACGCACACCACACACACCACACGCACCACACACACCACGCACACCACACACACCACGCACACCACACACGCCACACGCCACACACGCCACACGCCACACACACCACGCACACCACGCACACCACGCACGGCACAAGCACGACACACGCCACTCCAAAGATAAAGACAAAGATCCCCCGCATTGCCTTAACAGACTGTTGAGGCAAGTGCTCTTAGCGAGCACCTATGAAGGCCGATACAGTCACCGTAGGGGAGGCCCAGGAGCTGCTCCGATAATATAATCATCACTGGTGTCGACCGTGAGCGGGAATCAAACCCAGGTGGCCGCGTTCATAGTGCGCAGTGCGAACCACTACACTACCGCTCCCCACAAAGACACTACCGCTCCCTGGTTCAAATAATCAATGTTGTTGGCCGTGAGAGGGAAGCAAACCCAGGTCACCAGGTTCATAGCGCAGCGCGCGTCTGTGTGCACACACGTGTATGACACGGCCACCACCAGTGACGATACTGGGCCTCCCCTAGGTCGACTACGCCTCAAATGAGTGCCTGGTAGAGTGTGAAAACATCACCACTGGGGAGACAAAGGCTGTCGAGCGTGGTGCTGGCCACCCACCCGCTCGTGTGCCTGTCTGGCCTTCACAGGTGCTCGCTAACAGCACTTGCCCCTACAGCCTGACTCAGGTTATACGGGGGATCTTTGTGTGTGAAATGCACGCACATGCATGCATACGTGTTTGTGCAAGTGAAGATGCACGCACGTATACGTGCACGTGTCTGTGCGTGTGAGCGTGCGTGTGCTCCACACGTGTGTGTGTGTACACGCGTGCGTGCGGATGTGGAGTGAGACGCAGTAAAGGTCAAGCGTCGTTTCTCCTTACCCCCCACCCCCTGCCCCCCGCCCCGCCCCCCACCGGATCCTCACACCTTGTCACTCCTCTATGGCTACTGCTGCCATGGTTACGGTTCCCGTGAACGTCACTCGTTGAGTCCTTCATGTTGAGGACTCGTCTCATACACACTGTGTTCAACCACCATGGCACTGTAGGTCACAAACAAAGACTCCCCCGTATAGCTTGGGGCAAGTGCTGTTATAGTGAGCACCTGTGAAGGCCGACAGGGCACACAAGAGGGTGGGTGGCCAGTACCACGTCCGGCCGCCTCACTCACACACTCACCCACTCAACCACTCACACAAGCACACATTCACCCACTCACTCACGCCCGCACTCACTCACTCACCCACTCAATCAACCACATATTCACCCACTCACTCACCCAACCACACATTCACCCACTCACTCACTCACCCACTCACTCAACCACACATTCACCCACTCAACCATTCACCCACTCACTCACTCACTCACCCACTCAACCACATATTCACCCACTCACTCACACAACCACACATTCACCCACTCACTCACTCACCCACTCACTCACCCACTCACTCAACCACAAATTCACCTACTCAACCACTCACTCACCCACACATTCACCCACTCAACCACTCACTCACCCACACATTCACCCACTCAATCATTCACTCACCCACACATTCACCCACTCAACCACTCACTCACCCACACATTCACCCACTCAACCACTCACTCACCCACACATTCACCCACTCAACCACACTCACCCACACATTCACCCACTCAACCACACTCACCCACACATTCACCCACTCAACCACACTCACCCACACATTCACACATTCACCCACTCACTCACACAAGCACACATTCACCCACTCACCCACTCACTCACTCACCCACTCACTCAACCACATATTCACCCACTCACTCACGCAACCACGCATTATTCACCCACTCACTCACTCACCCACTCACTCAACCACATATTCACCCACTCACTCACACAACCACACATTCACCCACCCACTCACTCACTCACACAACCACACATTCACCCACTCACTCACTCACTCACCCACTCACTCAACCACATATTCACCCACTCACTCACTCACACAACCACACATTCACCCACCCACTCACTCACTCACACAACCACACATTCACCCACTCACTCACTCACCCACTCACTCAACCACATATTCACCCACTCACTCAACCACATATTCACCCACTCACTCACACAACCACACATTCACCCACCCACTCACTCACTCACACAACCACACATTCACCCACTCACTCACTCACACAACCACACGTTCACCCACCCACCCACTCACTCACTCACACAACCACACATTCACCCACCCACTCACTCACTCACACAACCACACATTCACCCACTCACTCACACAACCACACATTCACCCACTCACTCACTCACACAACCACACATTCACCCACTCACTCACCCACTCACTCAACCACACATTCACCCACTCACTCACCCACTCACTCAACCACATATTCACCCACTCACTCAACCACATATTCACCCACTCACTCACACAACCACACATTCACCCACCCACTCACTCACTCAGACAACCACACATTCACCCACTCACTCACCCACTCACTCACTCACACAACCACACATTCACCCACTCACTCACTCAACCACACATTCACCCACTCACTCACTCAACCACACATTCACCCACTCACTCACACAACCACACATTCACCCACTCACTCACTCACACAACCACACATTCACCCACTCACTCACCCACTCACTCAACCACACATTCACCCACTCACTCACCCACTCACTCAACCACACATTCACCCACTCACTCAGCCACGGTCTCACCCGCACTCACCACACTGCAGGCCGCACCACTTCTGCTTCCGCTTCTTACACCGCACTGCTCCACTTGGAATTCCAACCCAAGGTCGTCGATCTATCCACGCTCTCCTAAAAACAATAAAATCAATAATCTTGCTCAATTCAAGCAACGTTTTGGACTCTCACTACAACTCTGACGGCGCTGTTTGTTTCCGGCCGCTTGACATCCTGGGCCTGCGCTCAGCAAACCGAGTTAAACAAAACATTTTTTTTTAAATCCCCTTCAGCACAGTTCACACATTACCGGTAATTCCCCCAATCAATCAATCACCGAGGGTATTACATAGCGACGTTAATTACACGGCAATGATCAAATTACACGCACTGCACTTTCACTGAAGGTGAATCCCCGCAACAAAACGTCCATTCCTACGCCAGCGTGAGCGGAGGGCATTCCCAGCCCATCCCGGCAACGACGCGTGCACCGCTCCTGGCACTGGTGCCGCGCACCAGGGAGGACTGCTCATAGACAGCGTGCCACTGACACACCTGAGCGTGCCACTGACACACCTGAACGTGCCACTGATACCTCACTGTGCCACTGACACACCTGAACGTGCCACTGACACACCTGAATGTGCCACTGATACCTCACTGTGCCACTGACACACCTGAGCGTGCCACTGATACCTCACTGTGTCACTGATACCTCACTGTGCCACTGACACACCTGAATGTGCCACTGATACCTCACTGTGCCACTGACACACCTGAATGTGCCACTGATACCTCACTGTGCCACTGACACACCTGAATGTGCCACTGATACCTCACTGTGCCACTGACACACCTGAGCGTGCCAACGACACGCCTGAGCGTGCCACTGACACACCCCGTTGTCACTGATACACCTGCGCGTGCCACTGACACACACCACCTGTGTGTTGCACACCTCGGCGTACCACCAACCGGTCCCACCGTGCGATCAGCGGACCCTCCTGCTGAGTCACCAGCGGCACGCACGCACACGCACACACACACACCCCCGTGTCACCGACTGACGTCACCGCACCACTGACGTGCCTGTGTCACGCTGCAGGCACACCCGGGGGGGGGGGGGGGATTCCTACCAGCCGCGTCAGCAACGCAGAAAACATTTACCGCATCCGGCACACCACATCCAAATCTCTCGCGGCGGCCCTGGCTTACTGCTCTTCGCTCGCCGCTTCCTCCGATCTAGCAGCGGCGACCCGGGAACAACATTGCCGTGATAATTTTAGGCCCTGGGCACCCCTCCGCCCCCCCCCCCCCTCCTTGTGCCGCCGCCAGCCCGCCGCGGAAGCGCTAATTGATCCGAGCAAACGTGAGGAAGCACACCGTGACCTCTGGCGGCGGCCAAATTAGCGAGCGAGCGAGCGAGGTGAGGGCGACACCACCACCACCGCCGCCAACACGTGCACCGGGCCCCACCCCCCGCACACCCCCCCCCACCACCAGCCCCCCTCCCCGACCAAACCCGGGCCACCAGCGGGAGGGGCCGGTGCCGGGCACACAGCGGCCGAGCGGCGGGTGCTGGTGAGGCGACCGCTCGCCGGAGTTTTCCGGCCATTATGAGGCTCCTGGCTCGGGGGCCGGGGCCGATCGATCAGAGCTGTCACCGTCACGGGGGCGCCCACCCCCCGCCCCCACCACTACAGAGGGGCCCGACGCGTCACAATAGGCAGCGGCCCGTGGGGGGGGGGGGGGGCGTGGGGGGGGCGTGTGTGGGGTGCGGTGATGTGTGGGTGTGTGGGTGTGTGCGTGTGCGGTGGAGGTTGGAGTGTGTGGATGATGCGGCTGAGGATGTGTAGTTCGGGGGGGTGCTAGGGGAGTGGGTGCGCTCAGAGCGTGCTACGTATGTGCGTGCGTTGAGAGTGAACTGCGAACCTGGCAACCTGAGTTCGATTCCCGCTCACAGTCAACACCGGTGACGATTATCTGAACAGGTCCTGGGCCTCGCCTAGGTCGACTCAGCCTCAAATAAGTACCTGGGACGGTGTGTAAACACCGCCACGAGGGAGACAAAGGTGGGCAGGCGTGGTGCTGGCCACCCACCCCCTCGTGTGCCGTACATGCTTTAAAAGGTGCTCGATAACTAGCACTTGCCTTTGTGGTGAGTGTGTGTGGTGTGTATGGTGCGTGTGGTGTGCGGTGTGTATGGTGTGAGTGAGTGTCGTGTATATGGTGTGTGGTGTGTATGGTGTGTGAGTGTGTGTGGTGTGTATGGCGCGTGGTGCGTATGGTGTCTGAGTGTGTCTGGTGTGTATGGTGTGCGGTGTGTATGGTGTGTGAGTGTGTGGTGTGTATGGTGCGTGAGTGTGTCTGGTGTGTATGGTGTGCGGTGTGTATGGTGTGTGAGTGTGTGGTGTGTGTGGTGTGTATGGTGTGTGTGTCTGGTGTGTATGGTGTGTATGGGTGTGTGGTTTGTATGGTGTGTGTGTATGGTGCGTGGTGTGTATGGTGTGTGAGTGTGTCTGGTGTGCGGTATGGTGTGTGAGTGTGTCGTGTGTATGGTGTGTATGGTGTGTGTGTCTGGTGTGTATGGTGTGCGGTATGGTGTGTGTGGTGTGTATGGTATGTATGGTGTGTATGGTGCATGGTGTGTATGGTGTGTGAGCGTGTCGTGTGTGTGGTGTGTATGGTGTGTGTGTCTGGTGTGTATGGTGTGCGGTATGGTGTGTGTCGTGTGTGTGGTGTGTATGGTGTGAGTGTGTCGTGTGTGTGGTGTATGGTGTGTGTGTATGGTGTGGGTGTGGTGTGTATGGTGTGTGAGTGTGTCGTGTGTGTGGTGTGTATGGTGTGTGGTGTATGGTGTGTGGGGTGTATGGTGTGTATGGTGTGTATGGTGTTTGTATGGTGTGTGTGTGGTGTGTATGGTGTGTGTATGGTGTGTGTGTGTATGGTGTGTGTGTGGTGTGTATGATGTGTGTGTGTATGGTGAGTGTGTGTGTATGGTGTGTGTGGTGTGTATGGTGTGTGTGGTGTGTGTGTGTATGGTGTGTGTGTGTGGTGTGTATGGTGCGTGGTGTGCGGTATGGTGTGTGTGTATGATGTGTGTATGGTGTGTGTGTGGTGTGTATGGTGTGTGTGTGGTGTGTATGGTGTGTGTGTGTGGTGTGTATGGTGTGTGTGTATGGTGTGTATGGTGTGTGTGTGTATGGTGTGTATGGTGTGTATGGTGTGTGTATGGTGTGCGGTATGGTGTGTGTGTGTGTGGTGCGTGAGCGTGTGGCGGTGTGCTTGGGGTTGTATTCTGCTGGTATGCTGTGGCAGCTGAAGCATTGTGACGCCACACGCACGGACGTGCGGGTGGCAGCACGGGGAGGGGGGGAACTGCATGAGGAATGATCATAACTTCTAGCGCTGCTCGCTCTCTGATATCCAAGACAAACGCACTACGCAGCGGAGAACTCCCCGTGCCCGCGCAGGGAAGCGGCGAATGGGCACGGCCCTAATTAGGCGCTTTAATTGGCGCCCTCATTGTGGCCAATCGGATCGTTTAGATGTAGATTCGAAAAAGCTGCCACCCCCCTCCACTGCCCCCCCCCACCCCCCTCCCCACCCGTTTGAACGCAACTCGCTTTGCCCCGAGGCGCTGACTTTGATGTCGAGTCGAAATAAACGCCGCGTATGTGCAAGTGCGCGCGTGTACCCCTGTGTGCGCGCGCGTGTACGCAACTATGCGCGGACTACGCCAGACTCGCACGTTTCACTTCCCTCGCCGCCCACACCCCTCCATCCCACCAAACCCCCCCCCCCCTTCCTCCCCCCCCTCGTCAAAAAAAAGTCAAAGCGTTTTTTGAGAGTAAACATTTCAAGGCGCACGGTGAATTCACATCGCGCGCCACGTTCCGCGCGGTCACGGCCGAGCAGGCGTCAGGAGGGCGAGCGTCGTCCACAGCGGCAGCGACGCGCGATCCATCGCGGTTACGCCCGGGTCGTGTGCGGCACTCGGCAGGGCTCACGACAGTCGTCTCCGGCTTCGCCAAACACGTGGATCATCAGTAACATCCACAATCATGAAGGAGCCATCACGGCGATAACACTCCGCCGCCGCTGCTCCTGCCGCGGTTGTCTGGCCTGAACGTGAAAACCGTTGTTGTTGCTCTGCATCGACATCAGCAGCCGTACGAACGAAGAATAACATTCATAGAAATGTGACAGTACCCGTTTGAGTAATTATCCTTGTGGACATCTGTGAGCTACTGGACATCTGTGAAAAAAAAAGCTTCATGGCACATTGAATTCCTCCAGGATGAAAACAAAATATTCCAATTCTGATATATATGATATATTTCAGTAAACTATGGTCGCATTCTAATGATTCTATTGTACTTTGTAAATTGCCCAAATTATATTACTCCCGATCGATCCAATTATTTCTGAAGATCAATAAACGATGCAAAACCTCGTGGCAGGTTCGGGCGGCACAAGCGCAGAGCGACCGCCGCTTTGCTGCGTCCCGCGGGGTTACCGAGCTCTGCCCCCACGGTCGCGCCGACCGCCGGGAGCTCCACCGCTCCGTCGTGCACGCGGCTCAACTCCGGGTGCCGTCCTCCGCTGGCCGTTCCGTGAATCGTGGAGGCGACGCAGCGTGGTGCGAGCTCGAGTCGGGGCCTGGGGGCACGGTGTCCTCGTATCTCTCTGTCCTCGTGTCTCTCTGTCCCCGTGTCGTCTCTCTGTCCCCGTGTCGTCTCTGTATCCCCGTGTCTCTGTATCTCCGTGTCTCTGTATCCCTGTGTCTCTGTATCTCCGTGTCTCTGTGTCCCCGCATCTCTGTGTCCCTGTCTCAGTGTCCCCATGTCTCAAGTGTACCCGAGTGTCTGCGTCCCCGTGTCTCTGCGTCTCCGTGGCTCTGTGTCGCTGCGTCTCCACGTCCATATGTCCCTCTGCCTCCATGTCCATGTGTCTCAATGTCTCCCCGTGTCCCCGTGTCCACTCAGGACGCATGTTTCTCCAAGTTTTGTAATTCTCGCCATCATGACGACCAATCATCGGAGACTCTTAGACACAACTCCACACGTGCATGCGCAGTCGTAACACGCACACACACACGAAGCGTGCGTATGCTTTTTATGAAGAGCGCAAAA